GGCCATGGCCACGCAGCAGCACCAGAAATAGAAATCAGAGCCACGCTGCAAGCACCAGGCCGTGCAGTCTCCTGGAAGGGCTCCAAGATGAGGCTCTCCTGTCGGTCCTAGGAGCTTTTCTCTCCTTTTCCACAGAGAGACTTTATTGTTTGTACCAAAACACTGCACAGGCGCTGCAGCTGTGCACAAGAGCTGCTTTGTGATGGGGCCTGCGTGCACAGCCCACGGGCTAGCAGGCACTGTCTAAAAACTTGCATGAAAGTGGCATTTGTAGGGGTGCAGCTCCTGTTGCATGTTCCCCAGTTAACATCTCAGCTCTGCTGTGCATCTCGGTGTACCTCTGATTACACAGGGCGACCTATAAAGGGGAATGAGCTGCACCCACATCGTGCCAGCAGCTAGGAGACAAGCAGCCTGGGAGAGGAGAGACAGGACAGCAGTAGTGAGGAGCCACGGATTCTACCTGGGCTGCCTTCTGCCCTGATCACAGAGGTAATGAGTTTGCTAGCCCAGTCGAAAGGACTGCCTTTTCCACGGACAAGACCCTGGATCACAGCACTGGGCCTGGCCCATGCAGATCTCCGGGCTGAGGGAGGGGGAGTTTTCACCATGAGGTTGTTTGTCAGCAGGGCATCTCTTACGTTCAAACCAGATCCTTCGCGTGGCTCCCAGAGATGCTCCCAGTGCATCTCTGTGCAGCTGTGAGGATGCAGGGGCCCAGCTCCTTGCCAGGCAGGAGGGCAGGCTTTGGCCATCTGAGCACGGAGCTGTGCCAGAGCTAATCTCGTCTGCCCCTCAGGGGAGTCTGCAGCGATAAAACGATCCATTTGGGATGAACGACAGTTTTAAATACTTCTGAATGGGGACAGAGTCCAAGGCCTGACCGTAAAATCCGGTTTTGAAAGAGCTTAAAATAAATCCCATGCTGCCCTAGACTTGCTATTTAAAGGGGATTATCTAAGAGGTTTAGGAGCATATATGGGTACATCAAGACAACCTGTGTACCTAAATCCCCTCAAAGACTTTAGGAAATGCCTCCACACTTCATCTACCAGTCAGGGCTCGCAGGACGCTTCTCAGATCTCACCGCGTGCCTGGGAAGTTAGATGCTTCTCTATGATAGGGGTGACTTAGGGCTTCATTCCCAGCCCCACTGCTGCACACCCTGGCTCTCCAGCCCTGCACCCAGCTGCACGGGGGAGCCCGTCCCCTCCTCGCTGCTGCCCGTGCTGCAGCCGTGCCCAGAGGGGTAGCGGCACCGTTGTCCCACAGCTGCCTCCATGACCCGCACACCTCCACCCCACCGTGGAGCTGAGCCAAGCGCCCGCACAAAACACAAACCCAGCTAAGCCCAGGGAGACATCCCCGGTCCCAGGACTCTGGGAAAAAGCCACCCTGCACCACTCAGACAGTGAGGGTTTTTTAATAAATAACTTTTTGCACAGAAATATACCAAGTTTTACAGAATACAAACTGCAGGGACAACGACCAAGCATCAAAGACAGAGGATCGAAGAGCGCCCTTCTGTCTCCCTCTGGTCTTTTCCAGGCTCTGACCCTGACGCTCATTGTCAGGTCTTCACATAACCCTAGTTTGCTAAGGCCGAGAGGCAAAGTAAAGGCCTGGGAGGAGACAGACAAGGTGCCGGCAGCTGCAACCCCCACAGAGCTTGTGTCCTGCCCCAGCAATGGCCACGCTGGGTAAACCTTGGCTCTGAGCTGAGCGGACCTGCTGCAAGAGCATTGCTGGGACCAAGGGGGACGGTGGGGTGCAAGGCCACAGGCATACAATGGCCTTTCGGTGCTGGTGGAGAGATTGGTGCTGGGGTAAACCCCCAAGGGGTGGCAGTGCTGAGTGTTTCTGGGCTAGCCTGGGCCGGGGGTGGTGAGCAGGACCTCTTTTTTAACGCATTGTACCTGGGAAAGGCAGGCCCATGGCTTGGACTCTGCAAGTGGCTGCCCTCTTGGCACAGCTCCAGGAAATGGGACACGCTTGTCCCATAGCAAAGTGCCTGGCTGAGCCCTGCCTTGCCACCGCAACCACCCAATCAGAGGTGCCAGGGCTTGACCCTGCTCCCATCCCACGGGGGTCCCCAGCTGCCGGTGCCCAGGACGTGCCGTGATCGGTCAGTTCTCACCTGTGCAGCTGTTTCTCGAGGCAGCTCTGATTTTGTGTCATTTCTCTTCCTGGTTTTGCTGCTTTCCGGGGTTGTGAGGTCTCTTTGTTTCTCTCTGACTCATTCCTTTCTCCACTGAAGACTGGGAAAGCAAGGGAAAAGCCCCAGGGTGGCCAAAAGGAGATGAGAAGGGTGGGGTGGGGGGGCCAAATGCTCCACTTAGGCCCTCAGCAGTCGCATGGGGTCTGCCCCCTAAGCCAAGGGCTCATGCCCCAGTCAGGGGCTCATGCCTGCAGGGAACGGGATTGAAAGGAGAGGAAGGGCAAAAAGCCAGCCCAGAGCATCAGTTCCTGTAAGCCCTTCACCTCCTTGCGATGCCCCGGGGAGGTGAAAGCCATGGGTCGAGGTGCCCTGGGCTCAGGCCAGGCAGGACAGGGCAGGGAGGTTGCAGACCATGTGGTTAATGGGTCCCCTGTTCGTGCACACCTGCCCTTGTTTTACCCCGTTAGCCTGTGGTCCTGAAACCCAGCACAACCTACTAGGCCCTGTCCCCTGCTCCCAAGGGACCTGCCCAGGAGGGAGCACTGCATTTTCAGCTCTCCCAGGGGCACCAGCATGAGATCTCCCCATGTGTTCCCAGACAACAGAGGGATCTCTCAGACCTCTAAGATCTAGAAAACTTCTCCACACCCTAATATTTCCCTATGCGAGATGTTTTTGCCCTCCCCTCCAATAAGATGAAATCAAGGGCCCAAGCAGGGTCTGTTCTTACAGATGAGGAAATTAGAGGCAGCGTCGGAGCAAGAGAGCACCGACTCCAAGGGGACAGACCCTGTCCCACCTTCCAGGCTGCAATACAGCAGCTGGGTTGGCAGCTAAAGGCACTACCCGACCTGTCTGACGAACAATCCCTGTGCTGCAAGTCTAGGTTGGGGCTGCCTGGGCTCAGCTACACAGCAGGGTCCCACTGCAATCCTCATTGCCCTCACTACTCCTTCTAGTGCCCCCAGCTATGCAACCAGCCATGAGATGGAGCAGCAGCTGGCCCTCCATGGCCATGGCCACCAAGCTTTCTGCGCACCCGAGGGTCTTGGAGCACAGCAAGTCCCACAACTTGCCTGCTCTGTGTGATGAAAAGCATTGAAGAGAGGGCCAGGCAGGACAGAGATGTTTGGGGTAGGGAAGGAGGCAGTTTTATCTGCTCCCGGTAGAGAGGGTCCATCGACATTCTCCTGCCTGAAGGAGACAGTGGTTCACAGCTGAATGCTGGGAGAACAACTGAGACGTAGGCCTGCATGGGACCAGGCCAGGCAGGCACTCTGTAACTGCATCACACCTCTGTGGGAGACATCCCACCTCTGTTCAAAGCCAAAGGATCACCTTTGGCTCAAGGTCAAAAGATCTCACAAGCCAGTTCCACCACAGCCAGACCCCCTGCTCCCGTCATACCCTGGAGGGCTCTGCACCCGCTCTCCACTTGGCACCCTGCAGCAGGAAAGCAGAGGCCATCAGGGAAGGAACTGCTGGGACACTATTCCAGAATGACTTACCTCACGGACGAGATCACCACAGGCCTTCCCTCCTTTCAAAAGGGTTCTAGATCACAAAACACTTCCCAAGCTGCTCCTCCCTGTTCTCCAAACAAACATTATCTCCACAGGCATCACAGGATAGACGGAGCTACCCACCGTCACCTGGTAGGTAACCCACACATGGAGGGAACTTTCGCTTCTGAACACAAAGTGTGGACACTGACTATGAGAACAGAGAGGAATTTGGAGTATCCCTCCTGCATCCCCAACTCCTAATCAGAGCCCCAAGCAGTGAAACAGGGTCTGGTGAAGACTAAGGTCTCAGCGCATCATGAATCAGCCCCAGCCAACTTGGGCATGGAAAGGAACAATCCCAAAGACCCCCTCTGTCCCAACACCCATGGGTGCCTTCAGGCTTGTGAGCCAGTGTGCCCATATGGTAGGGGTCTGCAGAGCCCCAGGGAGGCAGCAAGGCTGTTTTAATCATGGGAAATGTTATGTCTGTTTGAAGGGGAGGTGAGGAAATCAAATGCACCATGGGGAGACCCCCACATTGAGCCAGTAACAAGCTGCCACTCTGCTCTGGCTGCTACAGCACTTATGTGAGTGGGGAGCGGGTGGAAGGAGATGTCCGGCTGGACTCCAGAGCCATCCCCATTCCCTCCCCAACCCCACTTTGGGACAGCTGTTTTTGGTAAGGAGGGTAAGGCTATTCTGTGATGGCACCAGCTTGTACAAGTGGGATGGGGTATCGATTGGCACAGGAAGCGGGTCCCAGGCACGGCGAGGGGTGGGTGTGAGTGTGAGAGTGTGTGAAGTGGCAGGACAGAGGCATCAGACCCACTATTTGCCTGCAGCAGGGGCAGCGGCCACGATCTCTTCATACTTGGGTGGTGGGTCATTGTAGGAGATGCTGGTCTCTTCACCACTGCTGCTCTCTGGGTGCCCTGTCACCTCCTCATAGGAAGGTGGAGGGGTGGCACTGGACAGTCTGGAGAGGACAGAGACCGAATGCTCTGGTGGGTAGAGGGTGCCATCTTGCTGGGGAGTGCCCACTGCTCTGCCGTCTCCAACCACCCGGTTGCTCGCTTCTCGCTGATACTGGGTTTCCCCTTGGCTTTGCGACCGTTCCCGGTACACCATGACTCTGGGGAGGCTGCGCCCTGTTCGGCTGGCCAAGTAGCGGTTCTGGGCATAGGAAGGGCGGTGGCGGGTGGCCTTTTGAAGCTGGCACCTCCAGATGATGAAGAGGGCAATGACTATCAGAAGAGCCACTCCTAAGAGGGGGACCACCACATACATAGCGTCTGAGCGCTCTGTGCTGTGTCCGGGGTCCTTGACAGAGTAGACGGAGTTGGTGTAGCCTTTCCAGAACTCCATCTGCAGGAGGAACAGAGAAGCAATCATCATGTGCTTGCACGTGGGACAAGCACTGACCACCACCAGCCCCGGTGACAAACACTGCCATCCCTGAGCCCACAGAGGAGGCAGAGCCGTTTGACTGTCCCCCACCACCCTCACCAGGGCTCTGGCCCATTCTGCCAACATCTGAGGCACTGTGGCAACGAGAGCAAAAAACTATATTTATAAACACACCTCCACAGTGGCCAACAGCCCTCATGCAAAGCAGATAACAATTTGGCTAATACCAGCCCCAGCCTGGAGAACTGCAGACAACAGGAATTTCTTATACGTGCTGTGTGAGTGCCAACTTGACCTGGAGCTGTGGTCAGGGTGGCCTGATGCTGGCAAAGCTGACAGCATTGCCTGGAAAGGGAAAGGGGTACTGAAGCATGCTGTCCACAGACAGAAGACAAAAGAGGACAGCACAGACCATTCCTTCCTGTGTTTTTCTTCTGTACCCCCAGCTCACTGAGGTGTAAGCACCTCACACATCCACGGGGGAGTAGGGTGGGACACACATACCGTCTTCTCTTTGTTCTCGAACACTTCCTTGACCTCCTCATAACTGCAGACCTCCTCAATGCACTCCCGCTCAATGGTGCCCTGTCGTATCTCCTCCAGGAAGCCATTGGCTCGGGGAAAGCGCTTCAGGAGCGAGTGGGCATTCCTCGCCCCCAGGAACACTGCAACACACAAGGCAGAGAGATGATGAACAGAGACAACTCTGTGCTCACCTCTGCCCAGTCAGGCTTTCCCCATCTGCTGGGCTGCAGCACAGGATTTTGGTAATGCAGACCGCGAAGAGGCATCTGAGACAACAAGTAAACCAGGGCTGCAATTCACCCAAGCTCCTAGTACAGCAGAGTGCCCGTTGAGGGAGAGCAGACCCAGAGGTGAGCAGGGCTCTTGGGGTCTGCCTGGAGACTCCAAGCACCAGTAATATCCTTCCACCTGGGCTGAGATGCTAGAGACATAGGAAGTGACAGGTTCAGAGCACACAGAACAGCTTAAGAAGAGAGAGAAGGCTCTAAGAAGACTCGCTTTCAACTTCCTGCCCTTGACAAGATTTCATCCCACTTGCTGGAGGGCAAGCAAGATCCCAGAGCTGCGGAGTGGAGCCAAGCCTATGTGGCGTAACAGAGGGCCAGCACCAAGCCCAGCACAGTTTGTCACCTCAGTCACCAACACACAGTTCATTGCACAGCATTTCACAGTCCCCCTTCCCATCACCCCAGAGCCTCCCCTCTTGCTTCATACATCCACAGTCCCCCTTCAGGCTCGTTCAGTCCCTTCAGAACTGGGGATGAACACAGGCACCTCAAAGCAGAAGAGCCACCCAGCGTTCCTCCAGCGAGCACCTCACTGGAGCACAGCTATACATGCGAGCAGATCCAGCACTGAGGAGGAGCCAGGCTGGGGATAGGGGAACTCCCAACAAGGGGACACTGGGCCCCCAACTCAACAGGCTAGAGCACACCTGGCAGTCAAGCTGCTTGAACAGATTTGAGGAAGTCTTTCAGCATTCCCCAAGGACGATGGGAGAAGAGGCCAACCTCCTCAAATCCTCAAGTGCTTAGCATCACCTTCAAAGGAAGGTGGGCCAGAGGCCAAGCAGATCTTCAGCAAAGCAGTCAGGAGGGCACGAGACAGCTGCCCCAGGCCCAGCAACCAGCCACCATAGCCAGGACCAAGCAGTACCACCAATAACTTGAGGACATTGCCTGCCCACCAAATAATTTTTTCAGGACAAGTAGGTTCTCCTGAGTTTCCAGGAGGGCTCTGGCGGTGCAAGACCAGGCCCCTGCGAGCAAGACAGACTGTGCACTGGAAGCTGGCATCCAGGCTGGCAGCTGCTGCAGGGTCATACAGTCTCAGGAGGCTTCAGGAACTCTGTAGAGAGCCCAGAGGAACAGGTGCACCTTTGCCCTGGACCAGGCCCAACAAGGGCAAACATGGGGACCACACAGGGGAGAGTCAAATGTTGAAACAGACCTGAGAAACTTCTCATCAAATAGCCTCACATCCCCATTCCTATTGAGTTTTGGTGCAGAGGCCTTGCAGATCTTCCTCTGCTCCCAAAGCCAGGAGGCTCTACCTTGCCCACATCAGCCACCGAGATCTCACCAAGGAGCATGCAGTCAGGAAGCCAGCGCCGGCATTTATTTGCCTGCAAGATTCAACCCTTTCTTAGCCTCTCCTGCCATATTCCGCAGTAGGGAGACCTCCGTGGGCTGCAGGGAACAAGCACCTAACAGGACAAGCAGCAGCCCAGAAAGAGGCAAAGAGGAGAAAGCAACTTTCCATTACTGATCATGACCCTCCCAGCATCCAAACAGCCTGTGCACGTATTTCATAAGAGAGCATTTCCATAATGCAGCTCAGCACACCCAACTGCAGGCAGCCACCAAAATGGTGGGATGGCATCAACTCTTCCCACCCAGCCACATAATCCTGCCACTTCCCTTGAGCAAGATGAATCAGTTCAGCTGGCTGATCCACAGAAACCTATTCACCTCAGGCTTCACCCTCAGGCTTAGTCTTCCACTGGATCAACCAGATGAACCAACTCATGCTGTAGCAACATCAACAGATACAGGACGAGGCAGCAAGGGAACAACTGGATTCTCCCATTAGACCAGCTTAGCTGTAATGCAAAAACACTCCTTCAATAAGGAGCTTGGTAAAGGATCAAATGTAACAGTAAAAGGTTACCCACTGCTGTCATTAGGAGCCTTTTACCAGAGAGAGTGACAGGTTTCTTTCTGCTTAACTTTCAATTTATCCAGCTCCTAAAACAATACAGCAAGATATTTGTGAGAGTATTTGCAAACGCAAAGACAGGGATAGGGCCGTCGTCATAAGCAGTTACTGCAAACTACGCCAACCCATGCTCAGAGGGCTTTTTTTTGTGCTGTGTGGGTACATTTTTCCCCTCTGAGATTTATTAATGGCTTGCTTCAGTGAGAGAGTTTGCAGAGGGTTGAACCACTGAGGTGTGAATGAAGAACAGCATGAATGATGTGAGTCAGAGACTTTCCGTTAGAACCAATTTTATTATGCAAACCTTTTTTTCCTTTTTTTTTTTTTTTAAAAACAAGGGCAACCAAAAAAAGCGTTAAGAGACACAGAAGATATCTCACAGGAAGGCAGGGGTCAGCTTGCCTTGGCTTTCCCAGTTGAGGAGGACTATGCCAGCGGGACAGGGAGCAGATTTTCAGGCCTTCTCTTGAGCCTTTCCAGAACAAGAGATTTCACAAAGACACCATCTATTCCGCAAACATCCCATCCTTCACTGGAGAAGTCTGGCCTCAACTCCTTTGCCTCGATCAGGCTGCAGTACCAACTTTCCCCTCCTCAGCGCTTCAGTCTGAGCCTCTTTCCAACTTCCTTGGCACATCTTGGAACAAGAGGCTTGGCTGCACATCTCAGGCTGTCACGGTTTTCCATCCCTGCAGATACCAGTCACTTGCCCCATTCCCTGCTTTTCTGAAGTGGCCACTAGGATGAGAAATAACAACAAACAGGCAGGCAGCTATCAAGAGCGATGTCTCAACTGAAAGCACCCTGGGATAGAGGCTTGTGCCTCTCCCCCCACCCAGTCTCCCTGGAGGGTTCTAGAAATGGCAGGACAGTAGAAACATAAGTTATTGCTCCCTCCCCTCTTCTACATGGAAAGAAAGTGCAAAGAGTTCTCATATGCCTGGGGACAAGAGCAGGAACACCAACAGCCTTAGTAAACAAGAGCCTTGAAAACTCTTCTCTTGTCTCCTGCCTGGGACCCTCAACGCTCGTGAGAGGCAGACAGCTGAGCAGGAGCAAGTACTGTCCCCCAAACTACAGGGCAGAGGAAGGACTTCCCACAGCCCAGCAGTGTCAGTACTGACCCTTTGTGCTTCCCCAAGTCTTCCTGCACCAGCTAGAGCACTGGTGTTCAGGAAAGGTCAGAGCTTTAGGCAGGGGGAACAGGAGCCAAGGATTGGGTTCACTACCATCCTTCCTATGTTTCCTAAGGTGCTGCTGGCTCCTTGCGGCAGGCAGACTGGCTAGGCCATACCACTACCCTACAGCTCTCCTCCCTGGCATGCAGAAACACCCTAAGGGCTGCTCCTCTGCAGAGTGACATGCAACTGTGTCTGGAAGGAAGCAGCCAGGGCTCCAAGCCAGGCACTATGGGAGAGTGCAAGCAGGTGACCATGCTGGCCAAGGGGACTGCTCAGCAGCCAGGGTCACTGCCACCACGAGGGGTAACTCCCACAACTAGCACGGGCTGCTGAGCAGGAACCCAGAGGGTGAAGCTCCAGGAGGGAGAAAAGGCAGCAGCTGGAGGAGGGCAGGGACCTGGCTGGGTACGCTCCTCATTAACAGTGGATTAAAACTGTATTTTAAAAACATTATTTGTGACAGAGTTTGAAACAGCCTGAAGATCTCTGCTCCCTCCCCAACATAGCACAGCACAGATGATAAAAGAATGCATACCTGTCATCCCTGGAGTCCTCCTCCTGCCCAGCTGGACTACTGCCTCCACCTTCATAGCTGGCTCCGGTGACACCCCGAACAGATCCCGAGATCACAGATTTCTAGTACCTCCCTGTCCTGTCCATCATCGTCCAGGCAGTTGAGAACCACCGTCTTCCTTGTGTTCCCATCACATAGCTGCGTGCAGCCTCCATGCAGGCTGCCCAGAAGAGCGAGGGGGGAGGGTTCAGTCCAGCTCTTGACAGACCACATACCTTTTTCCACCCTGCACCCTAGCTGGGCTAGCCTCAGCCCAGCTTTAACCAGGCCAGCCCCAAGGCCTGCTGGTCCCGAGCAGCCACGTCTGCTGGGCACTCATTCAGACGCCAAGACCCAGCACGCTCCCAGCGGAGCTTACAGAGCTGTTACACAGCTGCCGAGTCTCCACTGGAAACAGAGGCCGAGTGAGCGTCATCGGCCGCACACACTACGGGGCAGCAGGGCCCTCAGGCTGCGAAATTTGTGGGATGCAACTCATGGGCCACCTCCATGAGGAACATCATTGTTAGGAGATCCCTGTGCAGACCAGCGACCCCTGCAGAGGGGCCAGTCAGTCCAAAGAGCCTTAAGGAGGCATGTCTTGCACAAATGAACCCAATACAAATAAAGGAACACTGCAGCATACAGGGAGCCCTGGAGAGGTCAGTGCTTCAGCACCACCTATCAGCTTCCACCTTGCACAGGGAAGAGAGAAGCACAAGACAGACTGGACCTCAGACCTTGTCCAAAGATAACAGCCAGTGGAATCTGCTCCCCACAGAGAATAATAGCCCCTCTCCCCTCAAAAAGCACAGTCACAGGCACCCTTTCCTTGAGAGGTGGCTGCAAAACACTCCCCTTCTCCCCTGCAGCGCCACTGCCACCTCTCTGCCTTGAGTGGGGAACACTTACTTGCCATGCTGCCTCACTCGGCTACTGGGGGCTCCCACCTACCTGCAGGGAAGAAAACAGGAGAGTCACTGACAGCTCAGACTTCAGCCCAGCAGCCCCTGAAGCCCAAGCCCTCCAACACCCAGGGTCAGATCCATGGAGAAAGCAGGGTGCTATCTGGTGGACTGGAACTGTTCTCAGTCAAGCACTACCTCTTCATACAGCGAAGGGCTCAATCAGCCTCCCCACCCAACATATGGCTGGACAGCCCGAAGCTGCCCAGGGCACCCTCAGCTCTCAGGGAACAGCCCACATCAGCACACTCTGAAAGAGACAGCAACCTTCCACCACCCATTAGGAAGCTGTTTGGACATGGCCCATCTATGCTGCATCTCCAGGGCACACGGCCAGAACTACCTTGAGAGCCCCCTCAATAGGAGACAGGTCTGTAACAGGAGTACCCACATGACACACAGGAGAGAGGTCTGGAGGAGAGACATTCAACAATTTGTTTCACCGTTACTGGATTTTGTGGTTCATGTTTCCAAAATGCTTCCAAAAATCCAGCGTCCTCAGATTAACAACTTGCCTAGCCAGAAGATATCTGCTCCTCACTCCCTATTTGCAGCCCTCCTAGGAAGGGAAGGCAGAAAGAAAAATCAGGCCCAACCTTGCAACCTGTCAGGCACTTTGCTTACTTTGAGTCCACAAAAATCAAGGATGCTCAGACAGGGTCAGCTTCCCCAAAAGACAGACTTCAACACACCCAGCATGGGACAAAGGGCAAAAAGGAAGAGGCTTCCCTTCACTTGGTTAAGACATCCCTAAGACAGTCAGTGAAACATCTCCACCCAACAGAGAGATGTACATGAAGAGCAATCAGGGATGCTCTGCTGAGTGCAGAAAGTGTCTGGCACCACATTCTTCCTTTGCCTGGCCTGTCAGCTGTCATCAGCTGCTTTGGGCACATCTCTGCTGTACTTGTACAGCAGCTAGGCCATCAAGGGCCAGGTCCCTGCCCAAGAAGCCCAGATTGCTGACAGACTTCCTAACTAGAAAGGGAAGAAGAACTGAGATCAGGAGAAGCCCAATATCTCATCAGGAGATCCAGCCTGTGTATCAGAAGCTGCTGGGAACAGTCTGCTACTCTTCCCTCCCAAAAGAGATTGATGGATACAGGTAAGGCAGTCATCTTGTTTTAGATCAACCTCACAGTCATACCAGTTCTCACTTCTGCAACTCCTACCCACAAGCTGCAATAAAACATGGCTGTACTGTTTCCTCCACTGCCATAAAGCATACAGCATACTACATAGCAGGAGAGAAAAGGATATATACCTCTTCTAAAATACATTTGGCCAAGTTCAGAGCAGCAGCAACAATGCAAGAGCTGCACACCTGCACACCCAGGAAGGCAGCACACCCCGGAAGGCAGCTTTTCTGCTGGAACATCACCTTTTGCACTTCAAAAACTAAACTAAACTAAGACCTGTAAGAGTGAAAATGTATTTCTGCAGAAGCAGAGTATATCCTTCTCTGCTCATAGGAGGAATTTCTTACCCATTTTTTGCACTTTGTCTTTTCACTGTGCTCTAACGCTGAGCTAAACACATGAGCAGCGAGCCCCCTTCTCCTCCACTCCCACACACCACCTGCAGATCAGACCCTGGCCAAACTCAGCTCTCCTCACCTTCAGCAGGGCATCTGTGACAAAAAACACAACTCAGTCAAAAGACACAGGTGACAGGACCAGCCAAACTCCTACAAGGATTTATTCTGGATGAAGGAGCAAAGGCAGTTAGTAATAGCAGGAACTAAAACATCCAGGTCAGATATCCAGTCTTAACCCAAAAGCACTTTAATTAGCTCACCTGAAGTGAGATCAGTGACAGCCATTCAATGGGTCAGCAGTGCTAGAAACAAATTTCTTAAAAGGCAAGAATCCAGACACACAGAGGTGCTGAAGCATCACCACCAACACAGGCAGTATTCATCCTCACCAACAGCCCACTTCTGAGTAAAACTAGAACTTCTCCCTGCCAAAACAAGGCTTCATATGGCTTCTGAGATTCCTGCACCAAGAATGGCAAGAGGCCAGGCAAGCCTGGAGCTGTGTGGCAGGCAGCGTCCAGAGCCAGAAAGCAACCCCTTTAAAACAGTTTGTGAAACTCAGATTGCAAAACTCAGACTGGAATTCAAGCAGAAGCAGAGGAAAGTAGCAGAACAACAGAATTACATAAATCAGATCTGCCATCTACTGCGCCTCACAGCCCAGACTCAAAGGCTGTTTACTTTCCTTTTGACAAGGAATTGCATACCTGATCTTGCTTCTCTAAGTCATTTTTATGGATCCCTAGGAGCTTTTCACAGGGCTCCAGGATCTGTGCATCCCAGGTTGACACTCACTCCCCCACACAGGCTGTGTCATCTATAAGCAGAGATTACCTGACCTGCTTTTTCTGTGATCAGTTTTTAATTAAGAAAGCCAAGCCCACAAGATTAAAGAATACACCACATGGAAAACTTGCCATAGTTTCCATAACACAAAAACTTTGTACCACAGGTTATTACAGGCAATAAGCACCACATCCCCCCATTTGACAGACAGCAGTATCGAGTCACAGAAATAACACTGGACATTCAAGACCCGATTTGTCAGTGCCACAGGCTCCACAACCCATGTGGTTCATCAGGCAATGTATTTCAGGCATAAGAGCACAGTGATGATCAGTTTGGGAAGATTTCTTTAACTTTTTTCCAAAGAGGAGGGCTGACGCGCCCAGTATTAGAGCTCAGAGATTGTTTATTCCAGTGCAACAATAAACCTGGTCTACACAAGCCTAGAAGCATGACAGGTGCCAACCTGGGTGTGTGTGAAAAAGGAGGACATCCCAGATACTCGGTTCTATTTCCACGTGCAAATTCCTAACCACCTCCACCAGCTCCAGCACCTCAGATGAGCAGGAAAGCTGGACCACCGCCCACTCTGACAACACAGGAGTAACATCCGTTCTCTCTCCGCTCAGCCAAACAAGCTGAAAGAAGCCTGAAGCTGAGGAGGCTGACCTCAGCAGACGCCCACCCCATCCAGGTCCCCCCTGCCGCCAGCTCCCAACATGCAAGCAGCATTCGCCTCCTCTATAAATACCCCTATCAATAGGAGGTTGCTAAGGCAACCGTGAGGAGGCGCGAGGGACACAGTGATGAAAGCGAGGATGATGCAGTCACACATTTGTGTCTCCCCTGGGCTCCCCCCATCTCCGCCCCCGCTCCCGTCACTGTTGCCAAAGGAGGAAATCGTGCTGGTAAAATATGGTGCGTGCGCGGCCCCTGCCCCCAGCAGACTTTGAGTAGGCATGCGGGGAAGAAGCGGGCAGACTGGGAGGCAGCAGCTCCTTGCCAGGTTTGGGGGCGCTGGTATGGGTTGGGGGGGTGATGTGCGGACCATAGCACTCTGTAAACACCGATGACGTGCCACAGCATACAGGGAGGCTGCCGGATCTCTTGGTATCGCACGGTTGCAGCTGCCAGCAGCCCAGCAAGATTCTAACAATATTAGGGGTTTCCCATGCCAAGATCCACACTGAGGAGAAGAGGCTGCACTGGCTCTGCTTGCCAGAGACTGTGGGGTCCATGCAAGGTGCCAGGCAGCTTCAACCTCCCAAAACAGCCCTCAGAGCCAATCTCATGTGGCCTGCTCTTATGCTGCCCCCCAAACAGCCTCCACCCTGACCCACAGGACCCCCAAGGCAGCCCTTGTCCTCCCCTCCCTCCCGCACCCTTCCTTCCTCTGCTCCTCTCCATGTCAGCCTCCTCCCTGCCACAGTCCCAACATTGTCCCTGCTTTGCCTCAATGCCTAAGCCCAACCCCAATCCTTTCCATCATCCCCAGTTTGTTGTGTCATCCCATGTTAGGGTCTCCCACTTAACTTCCCTGCAACCTCTTATCAGTCTAAATATGTCCCTAATATGTTCTTCCTACTCCCAAATGAACCTCATCTTCACATCCTCTGCCCCACATCCATGGTTCTTCTTTTCTCCAAGTGCCCAACAGCACCTTCCCTCTCCAGCTCCGAGTCTCGATTCCCATCTACAAACCAACACTCTCCTCCCTCCCTAGCCGCACCACCTTTCCTCCCCTCCCTATAGCTTTTGCCCCATCGCCCCATCAATCCATAACTCTTTCCATATGTGTACCTTACAACTCTTGCCCTAAGCACCCCATAACCCTCCACATCACCCCAACCAACAGTTCTTAAACCTCCATCATCTCACAACCCTCCCCTCACCCACAGCTCCTGCCCCATCCCCATAAGCCCCCCATCACTCCACCCTACAAGTCCTGCCCCATCACCCCATGGCCCACCCAGCAACTCCATAGCTCCTACTGCCATCACCCCATAATCACCGCTGTCATCCCACCCCAAAACTCCTAACCCTCTTATCCTATAGCCCTATAATATAGCCCTCCTCCCTTCACCCCACAGCTCCTGCTCCCAACACCCCATAACTCTGCCCATCACCTCACCTCCGAGCTCCTGCCCTCATCTTTCTCCTTGTCACCCCACCATACAGCTCCTATGCTGTGCACCCCACAGACCTCCTCTTCACCCTTCCCCACAGCTCCCTGCCACCCCACAGCTCGTGCTTCCTCAATCCGCAGCCCTCCT